TCCCCTATTGCCCAGGGGCCCCATAAGTTGTCAGTCCGCCCCTGGGCGCTATAGAAGTACCTGAAATAAATAAAAATAACTAAATGCACTACGCCTGAAGCCTCCTGGGATATCTGCGTCACACATCCCAGGAGGCATCGGCATCGGCATCCACAGAGCACACAACGAAACACCGATCGTTGTACAGGACCTCTGTGTGAGGTTCCGATTCATGTGATCACGATTGGCCAATCCGTGATCACATGAATAGTAGTAAGCAAGATGTCACTTCTGTCATTGCTTGCGACTAGGAAATCTGTGAATGACCACAGAGGTCACATGGTACAAGGCTATTCACAACAGCCTTGTACCATGTGACAAGCTGTGACCAATCACAGCTCTCACAGTATTTCTAAATGGCTGTAGGAATGCAGTCAGAGAGGAGAAAAATGCAGCCTTTATGGGTAAAAGCAAATCAGTGTAAAAAAAAAAAAAAAGAAAAAAAAAAAAACACCCTCCACAAATGGTACAGCGTCACTCTAGTGACACTGTACTGCTAGGGTGACGGTATGTTAAAAAAAATTAAAAAAAAAAAATAATATAAAAAAATAAAATAATGATGTAAAAAAAGCAACGCAAGCAATTGTGTATAGATAATGAGAAGTAGAGGGCCGACAAGGCTAATAGGTGTCATTTCTTGTCACTAAAGCAATAAAAGTGTTGTTGGTCCATTAATGCAAATGAGGATTAGCTGTGGGGGATGGCAGGATTAACAGGTAGATATTGAAGTATACAAAACACAATTATGAAAAACAAACATATAGTAAGATAGGAGATTGATTCTTTAATCACTTGCCCTCCAGAGGATTTACCTCCCTGACCAGGCCATTTTTTGCGAAACAGCGCTGCGTTACTTTAACTGACATTTTGGCGGTCATACAAGAAAAAAATATTTTTGACTTTTTTGCTATAAAATATATCCAATAAAAATTTTTAAGAAAATCTAATTTATTCAACAAGCATGCATAAATTTAGGCACAAAAATGTATTCTGCGACAAAATCCAAATACTTGTAAATTAATTGGTTTACATCAGTGTTTCTCAACTCCAGTCCTCATGGACCCCCAACAGGTCATGTTTTCAGGATTTCCATTATTTTGCACAGGTGATTTGATCAGTTTCACTGCCTTAGTAATTACCACAGCTGTTTCATCTGAGGGAAATCCTGAAAACATGACCTGTTGGGGGTCCATGAGGACTGGAGTTGAGAAACACTGGTTTTACATGAAAGGTATAGCATCTATAAATGGCGGTATATATACTGGAAGTTTTATTTTTATTTTTTATATTAGTAATGGCGGCGATCAGTGACTGCAGCAGGCATTCAAACACTGGGTGGGAACTGACATGGTTAAATAAAAAGCACTGACAATGTACTAATGACACTGGGCAGGAAAGAGGTAACATCTGGGGTGATCAAAGCGTTAAGGCAGGCCATACATGGGTCGAAATTCGACCGATTTTTCATCCGAAAATCGGACCTAATAATAATTAGCCGATTTTTGCTCTGTTAGTGGGTCCTCCCCCTTTCCGGTGATCGGGCATGTTGGAAAATTCGTGAAAAAGGACCAATTGTACAATAATTTTTCCCGAAAAGAATATGCGCATGAGCCGTGTACCACCAGTAATCACCAGTGCACATTGATTATCCTGGAGGCTGTTTTGGATCTGAACGGAGCTAATATCATCTGGGCTTTTGTCCTTTGCTGATATCTAGTGGTGGAAATGAAAAATGATCCTCAATTAAAATCCTTTTTCCCTACATTTTCCTTGCTACTTGAATTGCAATATTTAACTGATGGATATCTGATGCCCATTATATTCTTCAACCTTATTTGGACATTATAGGCCAATTAGACCTCTAGACAGAATATACTTCCATATTTCTCTGCAATTTCCATAGATGAATGTTTGATGTCCATTGTTTCCTCTCCTATGGTTGTGAACGTATAAGTCAAATAAATGCTTTAGAAGGTTTATAGGTATAACCTAAAAAAGATTATCTAACAGATGATATCTGATGCCCATTATATCCTCTACAACTGTTTTTATACGTGTAGGCCAATTAAGATCTTTGTGAGGTCATTTGCTCCTAGCTCTCCGTGAGCTTTCACATCCAGGACTGCCTTGGCGGTAGAATTTTCCTCAAAAAATCTCCCCTGAAGAAGTCCACGAGGACGAAACATGTAGGGAGTAACTACATTTACCTAACCAAGTTTGAATCTCAGTTGGTATTCTTAGAATTGAAATTGTTTTTATGTTTCTGTATTTTTTCCTTTCTTGTGTTTTTTACCAAAATGCGAAATAAAAATGATATAACTTTTAATGTATTGTATTCATGTCTATGCACCCTGAAAGTCCCATCTTCTCTATTGAATATTTGCAATTTTAAGGGCTGTGGTGCAATAATCATATCGGGTCACTCGCTCGCCACTTCACTGTTTCTGAAAGGAACAGAAGTTTTGCCTGTTATATGGGGTGAACTTTATGACTTGGATGGCCGATTTTCGAAATCATTGATCACCACCAGATTACCAAGCGAACGACGGTTACGATTTTCGGACGAAAAATCTTTCGGAATTCGAACCATTTATGGTCAGCATAACTGTATGCGTTTTACTGTTTGCTGTTTTACTAGGGAGACATGCTGCACAGAGAGATACAAAGCAGCATGTCCATGGTGACAGGAGAGAGATCTGTGTCGTTTACACACATGTCCCTCCCTTGTCAGATTTCCCCGACAATCACCGTGTGCCAGCGGGGAAATCGCTGGTCTGGACCCAGTGATTGACATCTCTAGCAGCCAAGAGCAGTGCGGGTATGGCAGAGCGCGCCCCCTACCCAGAGATGCGGATCACGTATATACACATGATTTTGAGAGATACAAAGCAGCATGTCCATGGTGACAGGAGAGAGATCTGTGTTGTTTACACACAGGTCCCTCCCCTGTCAGCTTTCCCCGACAATCACCGTGTGCAGCGGGGAATTGCTGGTCTGGACCTGGTGATTGACATCTCTAGCAGCCAAGAGCAGCGCAGGTATGGCAGAGCGCGCCCCCTACCCGGAGATGCGGATCACGTATATACACGTGATTTTGCGCAGCCCTGCCGTCCTGTAGCAGTACTTCTCCTATAAGGATGAGGCTGACTGGTTAAAGGAGAAGTACAGCCAAAGCTCTTTTGGCTGTACTTCTGTGGATCACTGGAGTGCAGTCCGTTCTGCACTTCGTGACCAATTGTCTGAAGCCCGCTGTCAGCTGATGTCACCCCTGGGGCCAGGCTGGGGAAAGATCCCCACTTCAAAGTCTGGAGCGGCACCTTGCTCAGCCTCTCACCGCTCCCTCCCCCTCCACAGCCCAGTGCTCCAGTGAGTGCTGGTGGGGGGGGGGGGGGTAGAGCAGACAGCAGTGACTGACAGTCATCACTCTGCTCAAAGCGGCTGTGAGCAGTTATGTGATTGCGGACCTCTCACCCTTAGAGCCGGCAGGGGACAGATGCAGCATCCACCTAGGTAGGTATAATGGGAAAAAAAATAAAAAGCCATACTTCTCTTTTGTCCGGGACCTATTGATCAGCTTAGCGAATGAGAGTTCAGAGCTCTGTGCTTACTAACAACACAGGGCTCTGAACAGAGAGCAGGGATGTGGCTGTTTTTTTTTTTCTCTCTGCAAAGCAGGGAGATACAGCAGTCATATCTAGTAGTAAAAGCAGCACATATTTCACACATTACACGTCTGGCACACAGTTAACCCTTTGACTGCCCCTAGATGTTAACCCTCTTCCTATTCAGTGTTATTAGTACAGTGACAGTGTATAGTATCAGCACTGATCACTGAATTAGTGTCACTGGAGATGTCAGTGTCATTTAAGTCAGTTCCCACCAAGTATCAGTAAGTGTCAGATTGTCCGCCATGCTATCTTGGTCCCAGTATAAGTCGTTGATCACCAATACTAGTATAAAAAAAAAAAAAAAAAAAAACTCCAGTATATATACTATATTTTTGTAGATGCTATAACTTTCACACAAACCAATTATATACATTTATAGGGTTTTTGTTTTTATCAGACATGTAGCAGAATACATTTTGCCCTAAATTCATGAAGAAATTTGATTTTTTTTTTTTTAATTAGATACTTTCATACCAGAAAATAAAAAAAATTTGTTTAAAAAAAGACTAAAAATTTTGAAAAAAAAAATGTTTTCTATCATATAAATGAAAAAAAACCCAGTGGTGATCAAGTACCACCAAAAAAAAAAGCTTTTTTTTGTGTGAATGACATGAAACAAATCTAATTTGGGTACAGTGTTGCAAGACCAAACAATTGCCAGTTAAAGTAGTAGTAAAGTCTGCTATCAGCTTTGTTTTTTTTTTTAAAGCCTGACCTTCCCCCCCCCCCAGTGGGTCATGCCATAATGTATTAGTGTCAAACTGAGCCCTCCAGCGTTGCAGTGTAATTGATTCGGCGGGTCCCGGGTGCTTCCATCTTCACTCGGTCTCCTTTCCAGGTTCCATGCCTGTCACCGCTCGATTGGCCGGCCCACTATGATGTGACTCCCACACATACGTATGGGAGTCATATTGCAGTGGCACAGATCAAGGTAGTATATGTTCGCTGAGCTGCGCATGCGTGTCTCGATGTACATGACAGCTAACAGACAGGAAGAAGCATTTATGACAGAAGGGACTGATAGGTTCTCTTTTTACAAAAATTGCTGACAGACGGATATTTAACAGGACAAAGTTTACTACCACTTTAAAGTAGCGCAGTGCCAAATAGCAAAAAATTATCTGGTCAGGAGGGGGGTCAAATCTTCTGAAGTGGCTAACGAAAGGGAAATTTTATATTTTGACTGAAATTCCAATCCAACAACGTTCAGCTTCCAGTGACAATTATATTATTATTATACAGAACAACAAGAAGCCATGAATAGATGTGTCTGTGGGTACTGGTCGTTCTTACCTGTAATCTGCTGATGCTCTGACTGGCTGATTTTGTGTCTTCTGTTAAACTCTGATTGGATTTCTCTGCTAGCGCTAATCTCTTTGCAAGAGCTCGACACTGAAAGTCAAGCAGGAAATGTATAGAAGTTACTATATACAGCAATACCTAAAACAATCAAATAACAAACAATCAAGAATGCAGGGTTAGCGGAGAACATAGCTGAACAATCCAACCATTACTGGCCTCATATCTGTGGATGTCTCCAGGCGTGTCAGATCCCACATCCCTCACTGCACGCTGAGGTTCCATCTGATGGCCTCTGTGTTGCTATACAGTAGAGGCCGGTGAGATGAACCACATCACAGAAAAGAGGCCCAAGCACCTGACACACCCGGAAGCATGCTGGTGTGATGATTCTTCTCAATGCAGTGGCTCATGGGAAGCAAAGTAAGGACTCATTGCCCACCAAAGAGGTAGGTAATTAAAGTAGACCTTCACTAAATGGATAGCACTGTAATATAGCAAAAATACAATTACCTTTTTTTGTTTGTTTTTTTTTATCCGCCCCACCTCCTGTCGTCTTCTTGCCCCTAAATCCTTTTGGGATACCCGTCACATATCCCAGGAGGCTACAAGAGGGATACACAGCAGCTGGCAGGCGGAGCTGGAGCATGTCATTGGGGGTTGACTGTCTAAACCCAGAAGAGGAAGCTGGGCTCCTGATGATATCAGAAAAGAAGAGGGACCGCACTCGGGCTGTGGAACATGAGCCGTGGATTGCAGCAGGACAATGCTGGATTTGCTGGGCAGGAAAGTAAAAAGATTATAAAAGGAGGACAACCCAGCATTTTAAAGGTAAGGAGGGTTAAAGGGGTGGCAAATTCTCTATTTTAACTTGTACCTACAAGCAGGGGCATATCTGCCGCGAGGCAAACAAGGTGTTTGCCTTGGGTGGCATTCTACAGGGGGGCGACAGTGCCCCCACGCAGAAGGGACACCGTGGGGTCAGCGGCAGGACCTCCATCGGAGGGGAGTACAGCTGAGCCAACCTGACACACAAGCAGAGGCCAGGGGACCGGATGCAGAAGAGGACGGAGTGGTGGGCGGATCTAAAGAGTACTCAAAGGCTGGGGCCCGCTGTCCATGTGGCCCGTGCTGTGCGGGGTGAGTGAGGCCAGGAGGTGCCAGCACAGGTTCTGTGGAGGAGGAGAAGGTCAGGGAGAGGAGCCCCTCTGTTCTTGTTGCAAGCTGCCACTGGAGATCCTGGTGAGATGGGACACAGGCTCAAATACCGATCCTGGCACCATCTGGAGAAGCCGCTGCTGGACAGGTAGGAGCTTGGAGGACTGGTGCTTCCCCAGTCCTGTCATGCAGTCCCCCCTACCACCCAAATCACACTGCCCCCCACCAAAGAGCATCTCTTTAAACGTGCACGGTTTAGGAGATCATCACATTGGCAATAGCTGATGATGTTATCTGTGCATATACAGTGATACTGTACATTCAAGGGCACACAGTATGCTGTGGAATGCAGAGCGTGGCATCCTGGTTGGAAGTAATGTCATGGTGGCCCAGCCATCCATTAAACGGGCTTCAATAGAAGACTGGATGAAGATGGAAGCCCTGGTAGCCGTGACAGTGCTCTGCTGGAGGGCTGTGTTTGAAAGGTAAGTATGCACATTATGGCATAAACCTGGGGGGGGGGGGGGCAAATTTTGTTTTGGCTGGCTTACTATTGCTTAAAAAAAAAAAAAAATGCAATAGGGGCATGAAGTTCCTCTTTAAGTCCCAACTTAGGAAAACATAAAATACTGCAAAGGTGAATTGATCATTTAAGTCTAGGGGACATAGAAAAGAAGATCTACATACCTACTGTTCAGTGCTGCTAGACTGGTACCTGTAGTGTCCTCCTCCTATGCTCCAGCAGTCTACTGTCCCGATGTCATCAAGGCCAATGAAGGATTCATGAACCCTGCACTGGACATGATGATGCCGAGGGACAGTTCACCACTGGAGTATGGGGGAGAATCGTTTTCCAGGGAGCTGAGGATCAGGTAAGTTCAAAAACTCTCCCCCTAGACTTGACGAGCAGTGAACCCCTGTAGTGCGGGCACAGCCCCACTGCAAATGTGATAATTTTTAGGTTTCCTGGGGTACAGCCCCACTGCAAGGGATAATTTTCAGGTTTCCTGGGGTACAGCCCCACTGCAAGTGATAATTTTTACGTTTCCTGGGGTACAGCCCTACTGCAAGTGATCATTTTTAGGTTTCCTGGGGTACAGCCCCACTGCAAGTGATAATTTTTAGGTTTCCTGGGGTGCAGCCCCACTGTAAGTGATAATTTTTAGGTTTCCTGGAATTGGCCTTTAAGAACCCATTTACACAAGCCAGTGTATTCATTTAGACGGACTGCCTAACACACCACACCGGAGCAAAATTCACTCCTGCAGCATTTTTTGGTAGTGCGTTACAATGTGTTGCAGTGCACTAGAAAGGCACATTGAGTTGGCAATGAGAGGGAATGGCACTGCATAGCACCATTGCACATAATATCATAAGAGTGTGACAAAGTATGAAGACAATATGTACATTTGATTTCTACAAAGCAGTTACCGTTTGTTTGATTCCTACAAAGCATGTCACATAAGTTCCCCTGTTGATTGCACACATACCTCTGCATGGAAATGGACAGACTTGCTGTCAGCCAGCTGTAGCTGCGTGGTGAGATCCGCTATTCTCGTCATGTAGTGGTTTTTTTTATCAGCGCTTCCCTGGAGTCCTGATCTGGGACCTGTTCATGACAGAGAGGGAATTACTTTTAGAATGACCAGCCAGTCTAAAAAGTGCTGATCGACATCTGAACTGTCAGTCATTCTCTTATCTAAATCAATGCTTGCCTCAGCTGTATGGCCAGCAAGGTGACAGTGACTGCAGCACAGAAAGGCACGATAGTGTGATTGTATTCTATCAGACGTCTTATTCAACAAAGCACTGTACAGAGTAATGACAACCTGCAATGTCCAATAAACCTTTGCAATCAGATTTCAGCTTATTAAAGCGGACGTAAACACAAACTCTAAATCCCTCCTATAAGCGTTACCACGTTAGTGTAATATTCAAAGTCATTGCAGATCTTTTTTTTCATTTACATCTTATATTAAAATAATAATACCTGGTGATCCTGCCATGCAAGTCTTTGTTCAGGTGTTCAAGGTGCGTTCCATGTGTGATTCCCGCACCCAAAACACACTGCCTTTGCAATCTGCTGCGGGTGCAATGTAATGTTACAGCACCCTAAAAAAAAAAAAAAAAAAGATTGCAAACACCCAGGTGGGTGGTTTGGGTGGGTGTTTAAGGCAAGATGCGGCGGGATTTGCCCACCAAATTGCATAAAAAAAAAAAATGCAAAATTGCAAACATGGTGCATTTGCATGCACCAAATTGCATGGTACTGCAGTACCATGCGATTTTGGTGCGGCACATTTTAAAAGCAGTGCTTGTACTGTCCCCCAGTGCGATTCCAGCATATTCAAATAAATGGACTGCAAAATTGCACCGCACAGGAACAAGTGCCGCATTCTTGTAGTGACCCTGAACTGGAAGTGGGAAAAAAAACTTTACTTTTAAACACACATTGCTGGCAGACAGGTTTTTATTTTAGTGCAGACTCTGTAGGGTCTCTTCTCAAAAGTCTAACCTGCCTGCCAGTGTATGTACACTAAGCCATGCATGTGTTACTCAGTGTATAGGGCCCTCAAATCCCTCTTGTATTGAACTGTATTGTTGCTGTATTGTCTCCCTTTATATTGTAAAATGCTGAGCAAACAGTTGGCGCTATATAAATCCTGTATAATAATAATATATAAAAATCCTGTATAATAATAATAATATAAATCCTGTATAATAATAATATATAAATCCTGTATAATAATAATATAAATAAATCCTGTATAATAATAATAATAATATAAGACAGGTATCTGATGGGTATGAATTAACCCCTTTCACATGCCCAGGAGTTACATCATCCCTGACTGGCCGATTAAAGGCGCAGAACTTGGAAAGGGCGAATTGTTAGCAGCAGCAATAGAGTAAGAGACATCCCGACCATCGCAGTGGAGGGCTCTGGCTGGTAAGTCTGCATAGTGTGCAAACGGGATGTGCATACTTGATCATTATGGCAAAACCCTGGGTGCCAGCAGCAAAGTTTAATTCCACTTGATTTGCATTCCTGCACTGCCACTTTTTCACATGCGCCTACAAGACTACAAGTGACCGTTTCAATAAATATTACACAGACAGACAAGGTCCTTCACCAGGAAATCCACCCTGGGAAATGCCATACGACCAATGGTGGAGTGCATATAGACAGGAAGCGGCTGCAAGAGATCAGCAACACTGACATGCAAAAAAAAATTAAAAAAAAAAAAAAAAAGGGTGAAAATTATCTTTTTTTTTTTTAATATCTTCTAAATGCTTACGGTATGCAGTTGCTTTATCAAGCAAAATGTCATCCAGTAAGTGTTTACATCCACATTAAATTTATAATTATGAAAGCTGAAGTGAACTGACTGCTATGGGCTACTGCAATCTGCCAAATGGAAAGTGTTCTGTTGCCTTTGGTATGTATCTTGCCATAGTTTTACGCAGTACAAGCTCCCTTCTCCCATAACCACTTGACTACCAGCGCAGTTTTAACACTGCTCTGAAATCGTGGGCTTTTAGAACACGCTCCTGGCTGCTATAGCAGAGTATGATCTGTACTCCATTAGCTGCAGGGGAGTACAGGGGAGACGTCAGATGTCAAACAAAACCTGTCACAACCTACATGCTATCGCATACGGGGCTATTAGTCTCCTATGTGATAGTAATCAAGGAATGTTAAAAAAAAAAAAAAAAAATTTAAAGTTTCAAATAAATAATAAAAAAAAAAACAAACATTCTAAAGCCCCACACATACATACAAAAACAGTTGCATTGGGGTGCCTATACGAAAACGGCAATTACCCTACACCTGTTCTATATCTCCACGCACACCGAAGTGAAAGCAATACAAATTTTTAAGCCACTATTCACAGTTAACTCTAAACTGACGACCTGTAGCGGCTTTTAACCACTTCCCATCCGGCCCATGTATATAAACAGCCGGACGGTGGCAGTGCAGGGTCAGGTGGCTGTTTAAACGGCCTCCCCACACCCTGCTTGTGCGCGCTCCCTGGGAGTGCGCAGCACACCACGATTCGGTGCCCGCTGTGTCCCTCCAGGACACATTGGAACACCGATCGTTGGACGGGACCTCTGTGCGAGGTCCCGATCATGTGATCACTGATTGGCCAATAAGTGATCACATGCAGAGTAGTAAGCAAGATGTCACTTCTGACATCATTGCTTACTACGTGTGAAATCTGTGAATGATCACAGAAGTCACATGGTACAAGGCTATTCACAACAGCCTTGTACCATGTGACAAGCTATGATCAATCACAGCTCACACAGTAGTTCTCAATGGCTGCAAGAATGCAGCTAGAGAGAAGGAGAAATTATTGCTTTTACAGCCTTTATGGGTGTAAAAGCAATCAGTGTAAAAAAAAAAAAAAAAATCTTTATCACCCCCACAAGTAGTACAGTGTCACCATGGTGACACTGTACTGCTAGGGTGACAGTATGTAAAAGAAAAAAAAAATGTTTAAAAATTATAATTTTTGGTTATAAACTAATTTGGGTTATTTTTTTTTACTAAAAATAAAGATAACGGCATACATTTTGGCAAAGATTTATTATGAAATATTATTTATTTGCAGAATTTTATAAGAAAAACACTTTTTTCAAAATTTTTGGACTTTTTCATTTACATAGCAAAAAAAAATAAAAATCGCAGCGGTGCATAAATAACACCAAAATAAAAGCTTTATCTGTCTCAAAAAAATGCTAAAAAATTCATATGGGTACAGTGTTGCATGACCGCACAATTGTCATTCAAAGTGTGATAGCACTGAAAGCTGAAAATTGGCCTGGACAGGAAGGGGGTAAAAGTGTCCGGACTGGAAGGGGGTGAAAGTGTCGCCTATAAAAAATAAATACATAACTGTTTATATTTTTCATACAACTGTCTTGTTCATACATGTTCTTATAATGTAGAATTGATTCAAAGTGATACTGGCAAAATGTTGGTTAATCAAACTAATAAATACAACATAAAGACAAATATTAACCAGTGATGGTTGCCATTTTTCTGTCCTATTAACACCCTAAGAGCAGGAGACAAATACACTTCCAGAAACCCTCATCTGTCAAGAAAAAACCGTTTCTGTGCACCCCTGAATATTCCTGCTCTCTATAATACACAGAGGAGTGCTGTATACTGTACCTGCTGGATTTCAGTACTTGTGGTTAACATGCCGATCTGTACAAAATGCAAAAAAAAATATATATATATATCAGGACACATTATATAAAGTAGCAAGAATACAGGAATAAAGAAGTTAAATATCTTTTAAACACATAGTCCACCTTTTGTAAATAAATAAATACATCTATATTGCAAACTGTGCAACCGTGATCAGTGTAGACGGTTCCTCCAGCTGCACATCCATATAGAGGTATGGACCTTCGGTTATGGAGTTGGAGTTCGTAATCAATGGACTAGGAGTGAGGCGACATCCCTACACTTGTGTGAGCATTAGGTACCAGTCTCTCTGCTGCAGTGTCAGATGAGACTTGTAGTCTTCTATTGTGGCCCATGGTTATGTCATCCTCGCCTAGGTGAGGATTAAGAAAGTGGGAACGGGTACCTGTCAAAAAAACAGAAGAAAGTACCCACAACTCCCCCACCACCCACAATATAAAAAAAAAAAAAACCCTGTATCTCAATTAAAGGTTGAAGGGATGAAAACAATAGGAGGAACTTTCATTTTCAGATGATGCTCTCCTTTAACAAGGCCACTACGGTCATGGCGGGGAAAACAATTATACTGCAGGTCAGGCTCGGTGGGCAATACCACCATCAAATATGACCCATTCAAGTGAATAAGGCTGTGAAGCTACAGTTCAACTATTTAAAACAGGCAGTGGGGAGGCGGCATATCGCCTCCAAGCCGCCTGATAGGTGCATTTGAAATTAAAGTGTTACTAAACCCACAACAGTAAAACCAGTCTGTATATGTAGTAAAGCATGCTTGTTATACTCACTGTGGAACCTAAGGGGTTAATCCTCTGCATTGTGTAAACAGGCTGTTTGATCCTGACTTCTCTGCCCCTCCTCTTGTTCAAATGTCCAAGCTGATAAAGACAGACTGAACCCGTAGCCCTTCTGCACATGCTCCGTTAAGTGTGTATTGCTAGAGAGGTTTTTTTTTTTCTTGTGAGAGTGCAAGTGATCAGCAGAGGGCCAATCAGCGCTGTACAGACAGAGGCCATGGGTTCTGCATCCTCCTAGAGCAGAAAGAAAACTCCTCCTACAAGCTTTAGCTAGTGGTGGGCTGGACACAGATGGAAGTCACAAAACTGCTCTAATTGCTGATGAGAAAAGGTATTTAGCAGTTTATATTTACTAAAATAATTACATTTCTATGTTGTGTGTACAGTGGGAGACGGATATAGTGAATGCAGAGCGTCAGGGTCCGGGGAGAGCGGATATAGTGAATGCAGGGTCCGGGGAGAGCAGATATAGTAAATGCAGGGTCCGGGGAGAGCAGATATAGTGAATGCAGGGTCCGGGGAGAGCAGATATAGTGAATGCAGGGTCCGGGGAGAGCAGATATAGTGAATGCAGGGTCCGGGGAGAGCAGATATAGTGAATGCAGGGTCCGGGGAGAGCAGATATAGTGAATGCAGGGTCCGGGGAGAGCAGATATAGTGAATGCAGGGTCCGGGGAGAGCAGATATAGTGAATGCAGGGTCCGGGGAGAGCAGATATAGTGAATGCAGGGTCCGGGGAGAGCAGATATAGTGAATGCAGGGTCCGGGGAGAGCAGATATAGTGAATGCAGGGTCCGGGGAGAGCAGATATAGTGAATGCAGGGTCCGGGGAGAGCAGATATAGTGAATGCAGGGTCCCGGGAGAGCAGATATAGTGAATGCAGGGTCCGGGGAGAGCAGATATAGTGAATGCAGGGTCCGGGGAGAGCAGATATAGTGAATGCAGGGTCCGGGGAGAGCAGATATAGTGAATGCAGGGTCCGGGGAGAGCAGATATAGTGAATGCAGGGTCCGGGGAGAGCAGATATAGTGAATGCAGGGTCCGGGAGAGCAGATATAGTGAATGCAGGGTCCGGGGAGAGCCAGATATAGTGAATGCAGGGTCCGGGGAGAGCAGATATAGTGAATGCAGGGTCCGGGGAGACCAGATATAGTGAATGCAGGGTCCGGGAGACCAGATATAGTGAATGCAGGGTCCGGGGAGACCAGATATAGTGAATGCAGGGTCCGGGGAGACCAGATATAGTGAATGCAGGGTCCGGGGAGACCAGATATAGTGAATGCAGGGTCCGGGGAGACCAGATATAGTGAATGCGGGGTCCGGGGAGACCAGATATAGTGAATGCAGGGTCCTGGGTTTAGTAACACTTTAAATTAAAAAAAACTCGACAATGACAGACGAAAGTGTTAAAAAGCTCCTAGAGAAAGTGCAAAATGCTTGCATAGCTGACATTGAGTCAACACAAATAGATATGGTTTTGTTAAAGGATGAGTTCACCTTTTTACAAAAAAAATAATAAATGTAAAATTTTTTTGCAGGCAAATAAATGTGCATTTATTATTTTATTTTGTTTCTAGAGCCTATAAAAGCATTGCACCAGCGATCAGAACATTGCTGGTGCCATAGAGGTCTCCAGCAGATCTGTCAGTATATCTGCTTGCCCATACAGGATGTACAGGCAAGCAGATATACTGACGGGAAGAATCAATGAACTACCACAGCGCCGTGGTAGTTCATTGAGAACTTCAAGCTGACAGCCACAAAGCTGTCGGGACTTGTAGTTCATTCATTCACAGAACACTGTGAATGATGCGGCCACGTTTTTTTTTAAAAATTTTAACAGCTAGCAGGCAGGGGAAGATCCCCTGCTAGCTGTCACAACAGGGGGGCGGTGAGGAGCGGGGATCAGTCCATTTGAAACATTTTACACCCTGAATATATGTTACAAAAGGTGAACTTATCCTTTAAAAGAGGCATTATACTAAGAGATGATATTTCAAAAGCATTAAAGGAGAAGTATAGCCAAAGCTTTTTTGGCAATACTGTGGATATCAGGAGTGCAGTTAATTCTGCAATCCTGTGACCCATTTTCAGCTGATGTCACAGAGTGGGTCCAGGTTCTGAAAATATCTCAAACGTATGCTTGGGATCCACCCAGAAGCCTGGACCGGTAGCTGGCTCAGCCTCTTAGCGATCCACCGAGAGCCTAAGCCAGTCACTCCTGTCCTAACCAGAGCCCAGCGCTCCAGTAAGCCAGAGACTGGCAGTCACGGCTCTGTTTCACTTAGAGGTGGAGAACAGAGCAATTAGCGGCGCTTGATTTCTCAGTTCTCTGTGCAGAGCTGGCAGGGGAATAGTTGCAGCATTGGGTTGATGCTGCATCCACCTGGGTGAGTAAAATGTGTATTTTTTCCTACAGCCCACACTTCTCTTTTAAGTGAGGGGAAATATAGCAATGTGGACTTTGACAGCACTTAGAGACCTGGCTTTCCTCACTTTACCAAAAACTCAAAAAAAAAAAGCATCAATACAGCCTGCATATATAATACAGTCTCTGAGCTGCGTCCATCAATGGAAGATATGGAAATGTGGATGGATATTTGTTCATTTTTGATTAGCTGTTAAAGCCAGCAACTCTAGCAATTACCAGGGGTCTCAAAAAGACCACACCGCTCCAAAATCCCTTTCAGCTATGGGTATGCGGAGTGCCAGCCCCAGGAACCCGAACCCATTCCATTTGTCATCAATAAAAAAAAACAAAGTGTCACACACCAATGATGTCACTCCATGCAGAAAAAACTTTACCAGAGCTTGTGAGTACACTGTGCATGGTCTAAGAATCGCCCTTCTTTGGATACTTCTCACCCATGTGAGCTTAGTTGTAGAGACATGAGACATCAGAGAAGGGTGGCTCTCAGATGGGGATGCACAGCATATTTTGTTCAATAAAGTTTCTCTACATGGAGTGAGGTCATTGGTATGTGGTCTATCGTTTCTTGTATTGCTAGGGGTATCTGTCAGTTGTGGTGCCAGATGAATCCCCAATTGTAATTCAAACCCTCATGCTGGTAGCCCCAATACAGAATGATTGCACTCAATACCTTGTTGAAAAATGAGTATTTCTTACCAAGCTGGTACTCCTAATTTCACTGGAACTGTCCTTTGTGTGTATCAGGGCATTTTCCTGCTGCTGGTCCCCCTCCTGCCCCTTGCCTGTGTTTTTCATTAGTTCTGCTATCCTATGAGTTTCTTTCTCCCAGCTTGATCTTGGCCAACTGAGCTTCCAGCAACCAGTGCTCCTTCTCCTGTTCCAGCTTACTGATCTTCTCCAGACTTTGCTGCACCTGTTTATACAGAGACATTAGTCCTTTGTGTGCCACATCAATCAATGCAGTTAGCTGCTATTGTATCCAATATACCGCTAGAATCCGCTTGCTATGGGCAACAAAAAAAAACTTTCTTCCCATTCTTGTGTTGTTTCTAATTAGACTAAAGTTCTAATGTCACAAACACTGAAGGGATAGCTTTGAAGACAATCATGTTGTCCATGTAGGGTAGAATAAACAGGTCCTCTTGATAGTGTACCACATCCACAAACACACATTGATACCTTCTTGGTCATGTTTTGGAGCCCTTAAAAATACCCAGTACTTAACTGCAGCAGCATTTATATATATATATATATATATATATATATATATATATATATATATATATATATATATATATATATATATATACACATACACATACACATACACACACACACAACATATATACATATATATATATAAAATATATATAATAATAACACACATATACATATATATACACACATATAATACATATACACACATATATACATATATACAATAACACAACATATATACATATACACACATATATATACATATACACACAATACACACATATACATATAAAACACATATACACACATATACATATATACACACATATACACACATATACATATATACACACAAAACAAAAAACACACATATACATATATACAAAAACACAAAATAATAAAATATATATAATATATATATACATACATACACACAATACATATACATACATACACAGTGGGGCAAGAAAAGTATTTAGTCAGCCACCAATTGTGCAAGTTCTCCCACTTAATAAGATGAGAGACTGTAATTGGCATCATAGGTAGACCTCAACTATGAGAGACAAAATGAGAAAAAAATCCAGACAATCACATTGGCTGATTTGGAAAGAATTTATTTGCAAATTATGGTGGAAAATAAGTATTTGGTCAATATCAAAAGTTCACCTCAATACTTTGTTATATATCCTTTGTTGGCAATGACAGAGGTCAGACGTTTCCTGTAAGTCTTCACAAGGTTGGCACACACTGTTGCTGGTATGTTGGCTCATTCCTCCATGCAGATCTCCTCTAGAGCAGTGATGTTTTGGGGCTGTCGCTGGGCAACACGGACTTTCAACTCCCTCCAAAGGTTTTCTATGGGGTTGAGATCTGGAGACTGGCTAGGCCACTCCAGGACCTTGAAATGCTTCTTACGAAGCCACTCATTCGTTGCCCGAGCGGTATGTTTGGGATCATGGTCATGTTGGAAGACCCAGCCACGTTTCATCTTCAATGCCCTTGCTGATGGAAGGAGGTTTGCACTCAAAATCTCACGATACATGGCCCCATTCATTCTGTCCTGTATATGGATCTGTCGTCCTGGTCCCTTTGCGGAGAAACAGACCCAAAGCATGATGTTGCCGCCCCCCATGCTTCACAGTAGGTATGGTGTTCTTTGGATGCAACTCAGCATTCTCACTCTTCCAAACACAACGAGTTGTGTTTCTGCCAAACAGTTCTATTTTGGTTTCATCTGACCATATGACATTCTCCCAATCCTCTTCTGGATCATCCAAATGCTCTCTAGCAAACGTCAGATGGGCCCGGAAACATGCACTGGCTTAAGCAGGGGGACACGTCTGGCACTGCAGGATCTGAGTCCCTGGCGGCGTAGTGTGTTTACTGATGGTAGCCTTTGTTACGTTGGTCCCAGCTCTCTGCATGTCATTCACTAGGTCCCCCCCCATGTGGTCCTGGGATTTTTGCTCACCGTTCTTGTGATTATTTTGACCCCACGGGGTGAGATCTCCCCAGATCGAGGGAGATCATCAGTGGTCTTGTATGTCTTCTATATTCTAATTATTGCTCCCACAGTTGATTTGTTCACACCAAGCTGCTTGTCTATTGCAGATTCAGTCTTCCCAGCCTGGTGCAGGTCTACAATTTTGTTTCTGGTGTCCTTCGACAGCTCTTTGGTCTTCACATAGTGGAGTTTGGAGTGTGACTGTTTGAGGTTGTGGACAGGTGTCTTTTATACTGATAACAAGTTCAAACAGGTGCCATTGATACAGGTAATGAGTGCAGGACAGAGGAGCCTCTTAAAGAAGAAGGTACAGGTCTGTGAGAGCCAGAAATCTTGCTTGTTTGTAGGTGACCAAATACTTATTTTCCACCATAATTTGCAAATAAATTCTTTCCAAATCAGCCAATGTGATTGTCTGGATTTGTTTTCTCATTTTGTCTCTCATAGTTGAGGTCTACCTATGATGCCAATTACAGGCCTCTCTCATCTTTTTAAGTGGGAGAACTTGCACAATTGGTGGCTGAGGAACCCGCACTCACTCCATTATATATATATATATATATATATATATATATATATATATATATATATATATATATATACACACACACAAAAGTCAATAAGGCTGGCCATACATTATACAATTATCTGGAGATTTTTGGTTTAGATTTACCAAAAACCATATAAGAGGAGGACAAACCTAAACAACACTTTCAGTTGTATCCAATTAGGCAGGCCTTTGCACTACACAGTTGAAGGTAAATTTAAAGGAAATTGGGCAGAAAATTGGAAGATAATTGTATAATGTATGGCCAGCCTTACTCACATTCATACATACACATACTAGGGCCAATTTAGACAGGAGCCAATTAACCAGGTGGTGCCATGGCTGGGATTCGAACCAACGACCCTGGTGCTGTCAGGTGGAAGTGCTAACCATTTAGCCACTGTGCTGTCCTTAGCAGCATGTGACCTTTTGCCAGAATATAGAGATCAGGCCTGAGCAGGCAACTGCTAGGCCTGAAGACCATCACCTGGGGTAGGGGAGGAAGTAGTTTACCATGTGTAAGCCTACAAAGGGCTGGCACTAGTTTACACACAAACATGGCAATGGGGATGTGCAAGGAACTTACACTGAATTTCGTCAAGGCATTCCCACAGGCAAACATGGCAGCGTGGATGAGCATGAATCTTACACAGGGGTTAATCTCCACATTTCCACAAGTAAACATGGAAGCCAGAGCAAGCATGGAGCTTTCACAGAGGATAGACTATGCATTTCCACAGCAAAACATTGTGGCCAGGGCAAGCATGAAGCTTAAAGAGTGGTTGATGTATACAAATTTATTTCCAGGGTAGGGATGAGGATTTCATGCAGACGTACCTGTTGGCCAGGCCTTCTCTGCTCTCTGTGGAGCTCAGCAGGACTCTGCGATTCACCAGTGCCTCTTCATAAGGCACAGAGTCAGGGCAGGGCTGTAACATAGAAATGTTCATCAGTATGTCTCAGTAATAACAGAATATCGGGTCAAAGTTGCCTGTAGCCAGAAATACAACATGCTGACCAATCCTTAGAAGCCCTTAAAACCCAATTGATTGATTGTGTGCTCCCAGCAAGGAGACTGAGCCGTCACTGACAGCTTCTGGTCTCGATGCGAGTTCACACTGATGCAAATTCTATGCAGATCAGATGCGATCTGAAAAGCATAGATTTGCATGTAATCTACAAAAGTAAGCTCCAAGGATCAGGCCCTCCTATCCCTCTTGTATTGAACTGTATTGTTGCTGTATTGTCTCCCGTTATATTATAAAGCGCTGAGCAAACTGTTGGTGCTATATAAATCCTGTATAATAATAATAGTAATACAAAAGCATTACTGCCAAGGCACATGGTCACATATATGCGGTGCAAATCTGATCCAGTCCAGAAAAGGGTCCTGTGGGGGTGTGGTGCGAATTGCATCTCTTGCTATGCCCAGTCCCCTCAGAAATCACATTCAATTCGCTCCTATCACAGCAGAAATTGCATCAGATTCGCACCGCATCAGTGTGATCCGACACTCAAAGTAATCACAAAGATTAGAACTGTTCTGGCACTTTTTGTTTACAAGTAAAAATTTGCTTTTTTTTTGTGGTAGGAAACTACTTAGAACCCCCAAACATATATATTTTTTTCCAGCAGAGGTCCTAGAGCATAAAAGGTGGTCATTGCAATTTTTTATGTCACACGATATTTCCATTTTAATTATTTTTAATGCAACCCCCGCCCCCACACACACAATATATAACCCAATTTTGGTAAAATAAAAAAGATGATGTTACGCCAAGTAAATAGATACCTAACATGTCACACTTTCTATAAGACCTCAGATCGCTCCTCTACCATGAAAAGCATGAGACTGGAAAAAAATTAAAAACCCCACAATGATCTCTTCTTAAAAAGAAAAAAAAAAAGCAGTGCTTACATCTGCTAAAACCGGAAGAGATGTCATGATGTTGCTTCCCTTCTCTTAAACCACAGAGCTCTACGGTAACCGGACGGCACCGCCAGATTGGATACGGGGGCTCTCCGATCGCACAGGAGAGCTGGTGGGAGACCGGATGGCACCACCAGATTGGATACGGGGGCTCTCCGATCGCACAGGAGAGCTGGTGGGAGACCGGATGGCACCACCAGATTGGATACGGGGGCTCTGCGATCGCACAAGAGAGCTGGTGGGAGACCGGACGGCACCGCCAGATTGGATACGGGGGCTCTCCGATCGCACAGGAGAGCTGGTGGGAGACCGGACGGCACCGCCAGATTGGATACGGGGGCTCTCCGATCGCACAGGAGAGCTGGTGGGAGACCGGACGGCACCGCCAGATAGTATACGGGGGCTCTCCGATCGCACAGGAGAGCTGGTGGGAGACCGGACGGCACCGCCAGATAGTATACGGGGGCTCTCCGATCGCACAGGAGAGCTGTTGGGAGACCGGACGGCACCGCCAGATAGGATACGGGGGCTCTCCGATCGCACAGGAGAGCTGGTGGGAGACCGGACGGCACCGCCAGATTGGATACGGGGGCTCTCCGATCGCACAGGAGAGCTGGTGGGAGAGGGCGTTCCCTCCCATCACCTGTAAAAGCAATCTAGTGGCTAATCAGCAGCTAGGATTGATTTTAGATGAAAAAGCATTGCTGGCTGAAAAAAAAAAAAAAAAAGAAAAAATACTGGTGTTATGGCATACAGCTGCGGCCATAACCCCGGTATAATCACTTGAACCCAAATTGCATACATGTAAATGTAAAGTGGGTAATGATAGGGAGCTGGTAGGATGGGCTCCTGATCACATGATCACTGATAGCCAATCACAAAGATCAATAGTTTGAGAAGCCTCCTCTGTATCTCTCAGGCCTCATTATCAAGGCTAGTTTGGTCCAGCAGCTGGAATCACTGGAGGTTAACGACAGCTGTGGCCGGGAAGTCCATACAAAACTGAGAGGAGCTGCAGCTGTCCATTGTTGTTTACATGCCAGTGATTACATGCAGTTAGGAGGAGATGATCATCCCTGAGCGCAGACAGTCTCATGTCCAGAGCCAATCCTCTGCCCCAATCCAAAGGTAATCGCTTGCTGTGCAATTAAGGTCTCGCTGACACTGATGACTATGCGACTTCCAGTGAAGTCACACGATTTCAATGTCAAATCGCACCTGAAGTAGTGCATGCACTACTTTAGAAATCGGTGCGGCTCTGACCAAGTCGGAATCGCACCGCTATGACCATTTTAATTGCAGACAATAGGGTGCAATTTGCAACTCGCATGGCATGGCAAATCGCACCTGGTGATCAGGCACTAAATGTGAACAGCAATGGACAACCGAGACCCTTGTCAACCTGTCATTGCTTTGTATAGGTTACATGGCTGCAGCTGTCCAGAACCGCCGGTGATCTGAGTGTACTATTGTTTCTGGGCCCTACTACAAGTACAAACAACAGACAGCACAACGACAGCTTTACCAACACATGCCAATATGACAAAACTGGGTTCAGGGGTTAAGGTTTGTTTGATCATTAACATTAATTGGCTACATCAGCTAAATAAACTTATAGGGGGTAGGGGGGGGGGGGGGTATTCATAAAATATTTGCATGGCTGCTTGTCCAACAACACTGCTAATGCATTAGTTTAATGCGAAAGGGGAAAAAAACCCAAATAATTCTAGTGTTTCTTCTACAGGTTGATTATTGTTCATTCAAAGTGGAAGCACTTGTATTGCCTATGATTTTCAGGTCCATTTAATGGCCATAATGTGGTGCTAACCTGAAAAACCAATACTACATAAAACAAGCGAGCGCTTCATATAGTCAAGCAGCTAGCATAAGGATAAACCCCTTGATCCTTTAAAATGTAAATATGAAAAAACAACTCTAGGAAAATTTAAAAAAAAAAAATTTGCGGTGGGACCCCTCCACACAGAAAGAGTTAAAGTGTTACTAAACCTCGGACCCTGCATTCACTATATCTGGTCTCCCCGAACCCCACATTCACTATAGCTGTTCTCCCTGAACCCTGCATTCACTATATCCGGTCTCCCCAGACCCTGCATTCACTATATCCGCTTTCCCCGGAACCTGCATTCACTATATCTGTTCTCCCCGGACCCTGCATTCACTATATCTGTTCTCCCCAGACCCTGCATTCACTATATCTGTTCTCCCCAGACCCTGCATTCACTATATCTGGTCTCCCCGGACCCTGCAGTCACTATATCTGGTCTCCCCGGACCCTGCAGTCACTATATCTGGTCTCCCCGGACCCTGCATTCACTATATCTGGTCTCCCCGGACCCTGCATTCACTATATCTGGTCTCCCCGGACCCTGCATTCACTATATCTGGTCTCCCCGGACCCTGCATTCACTATATCTGGTCTCCCCAGACCCTGCATTCACTATATCTGTTATCCCGGACCCTGCTTTCACTATATCTGCTCTCTCCGGACCCCGCATTCACTATAGCTGTTCTCCCCGGACCCCGCATTCACTATAGCGGTTCTCCCCGGACCCCGCATTCACTATAGCTGTTCTCCCCGGACCCCGCATTCACTATAGCTGTTCTCCCCGGACCCTGCATTCACTATAGCTGTTCTCCCCGACCCTGCATTCACTATATCTGGTCTCCCCGGACCCTGCATTCACTATATCTGGTCTCCCCGGACCCTGCATTCACTATATCTGGTCTCCCAGGACCCTGCATTCACTATATCCGCTCTCCCCGGACCCTGCATTCACTATATCTGGTCTCCCCGGACCCCGCATTCACTATATCTGGTCTCCCAGGACCCTGCATTCACTATATCCGCTCTCCCCAGACCCTGCTTTCACTATATCTGGTCTCCCCGGACCCTGCATTCACTATAGCTGTTCTCCCCGAACCCCACATTCACTATAGCTGTTCTCCCTGAACCCTGCATTCACTATAGCTGTTCTCCCTGAACCCTGCATTCACTATATCTGGTCTCCCCGGACCCTGCATTCACTATATCTGGTCTCCCAGGACCCTGCATTCACTATATCCGGTCTCCCCAGACCCTGCTTTCACTATATCTAGTCTCCCCAGACCCTGCTTTCACTATATCTGGTCTCCCCGGACCCTGCTTTCACTATATCTGGTCTCCCCGGACCCTGCTTTCACTATATCTGGTCTCCCCGGACCCTGCTTTCACTATATCTGGTCTCCCCGGACCCTGCTTTCACTATATCTGGTCTCCCCGGACCCTGCATTCACTATATCCGGTCTCCCAGGACCCTGCATTCACTATATCCGGTCTCCCCAGACCCTGCTTTCACTATATCCGCTCTCCCCAGACCCTGCTTTCACTATATCTGCTGTCCCTGGACCCTGCTTTCACTATATCTGGTCTCCCCGGACCCTGCATTCACTATATCTGGTCTCCCAGGACCCTGCTTTCACACTATATCTGGTCTCCCACAGTACACACAACATGGAAATGCAAATATTTTAGTAAATATAAAAACTGCTGAATACCTTTTTCTCATCAGCAGTTAAAGCAGTCTTGTGACCTCTATCAGTGTCCAGTAGAGCACATGTTAAAGGTTGTAGGAGGAGTATTCATTCTCCCCTAAATGTCCTATGAGGCTACAGGACCCCTGACCCTTTGTCTGGACAGCGCTAATTGGCCCTGTAATGAAAAAAAACTAACGATTGCTGCTTTGCCTGTTCAAAAACTTGTTGGAGAAACCAGAAAATGTTCTTGAGCCCATTAGACAAACAACCGACATTTTCGCAACTTCTTCCCCATTAATCATTTCCTTTTCACACAAGTGAAGAATAAAAACCAGCGAAGCCTAGATGAGAAGTAGCAGTTCTGCGCAGAGCGAATGACATTATGGCGGGTTAATCTATGCTTTGATAACGTGTTGCGACGTCTGAACTCTGCATAATATCTCAGATACTGCAAAATGGGAGGGG